AGTGACTGACTGGTCCTCATAAGACGAACTCGGGGGACATTTATGTATACAGAGTACTAAAAAAATGCACTAATAATGCCCATACCATCTGCCCGCGAATACATTTCCAAAAATTGAGTCGACACCTTGTCATATGGACTCCTGACGAATTCTTTGAGCCTAGTGCAAACTGCCAGTATGCTATGGAGGTTATCTGCCACGGCCATTCTATTATTGTCTCTGCACGGGGTATGACGCGGAGTAGATACGACTCTATGCGACTCTGACACCACTTGGACGGGGGGCGAGTACGTCTGGTGGCGCGCGCCAAGCGCGCGCTGCCATTCACGGTCAGCACGTGGTCATGATCAGACTTCAATGCAGTCTGCAAAGCCAATTCATGACGACTGTGCAGTGGGTGAAGTACATGAAACTTGAAGTGAAGTGAGACAGTCTGCAAAGTGACCTCACTGCAGGAGCAACACTACCAAGACGTGTCCGAAAGCAAGCTCGATTTTGACTTTAGCCCATAGCCAACAGTTGCGGACCTTCTCGCACCAAAGTTGGTAAGCTTGTGCTATCATCGTTTTGCAAACTACTATAAGACGTGGGGCGGGGGGACACTAGCTGACGAAACGTCCCTCCCACCATCATCCAGGAACATGTTTACACTGTTGGGGTTAGACCATGGTAAAAGGTTGAGCAGCCAATCAGAAGCAGAGGAACAAATGGTTGTAACTCCCGCGGCGCCCGGGACTAGCCGGGACTCCCACTCAAGGGAGACTCCAGGTACTTTCTCGAGTCCCAAACTCCCTAGCACTGGAGGATTTGGTATCTTTAGGGCCAGGCAGAAGGTTGTACAAAAGAGAATTCCCAGCCAATCAGAGCCTGTGGAATTCCCTTTCATACAACCTTCTGCCCGGCCCTAAAGATTCCAAATCCTCCAGTGTAGCTGAGTCGGTGGGGGGGGGCATAAATGCATTTTTATCTATGGCGGCGACCCGGGGCTCAAGACTTTAAAGCAAAATAAATAATAATACAGTAAGTATATATGTTCAACGCGTCCCAGACGCGTTCCTGTCGTCCTTCACCAGTGGTCTGCCTGCCGTCTGACGCTTGCTCGTATTGTGGGTTCTGAAATAAGGCTTATCCTGAGTGGACGGCCGACAGAAAATATGTCGCCTATGTTGTTGTCCAGTCTAGTCTGTGTTCGAATGCGGATGCTTACAGCCAGTATACAGAACGTAGCAAACATTCTAGTTTGATGGGAAAGACAATATCATAGCCAGAGACACTGCAGGTATTTTTCCGTTTGTTATAGAAGATGTAGCATTGATGTTACCTTGCGCCGTGAGTGTAGCCCTAGCGGGGCTTGAGAGCACCTGCGAGTCAAGCGTCGTCGCGCGTACATGGACGTATTCCGCGTTTGGATGTATACATGTACGCCATGAATCACTTCACTCTGCACTACGTTGTGAGTACATTTATCCTGCGGCTAAACTCGTCCAGGCTATCCGATATCATTCCATTCCATATAGCTTCATTATGCTCGGTCTATCTCGACTAAACTCCGTAGTGAAAGTTATTGGTATGAATATAAAGATCCTGCTCAACCGCAGGTGCCGAGGTCTTTAACCCAGTTCCAGGATGATCAAAGTGAGGGCTCGTTGCTCATATATCGACGTTTCACGGATCCTCTGGCTGATATCCTTACCTTAAGCCATCGAACTAAGGCCTGAGGCCGTATGTAAGTCCTATGCCCGAGAGAACTTAGTTGCGTTGGAAGGCGACGATCACTTTGGCTCATACCCAGCTGGGGGTGAGAGCGCTTTCAAGCACCGGCTTGGATCGTCTCGCCTCGTCACTGCAAGAGCGAGCAGATGTTGTTGGGGTCGTACATCCCTGGTCCCGCGTGGACGACACCAATGTAGATCACAAGATCGCTATGCTCACCGGGCGGTGCGTCCCGCGATCATTGAGTTTGCGTTGGATTGCTGTGGTGAGTTCGTCGACTCGATCAGCGATGATGATGTGAGTCTCGGCGCTTCATTCTCTGATGTTACCGCGATTCATAAAGTCTCCCTGACCGTCACCGGTACACCATCGTCTTGGCTATGGAGGTTACGGCCTCCCAACGCGATTCGTGACCCCTCCACTGCTCATGGATACTGGGCCTACATGTTCGGACGCTCGGAGGACTACTGTCACGGGTGGGCCGTGAACGTCGTCGCTCTAACTCAAAGGCTCACCCTAATCCATACGGATGACCCATAGACTCGGATTATTTAGGAGTATGCGCGCGGGTGCATACCTCAATGACAACACCAAATTCGAACCGTTCGTAACGTTCATACGACGACCAGCACGCGGCAACGCATCGCTCGCAATCACGATCTAGATGTGAGTACGTAGACGAAGATAACGCAGCTACAATTCCGACTGAAATCCCGATGCGGTCTAGCTTTGATTCTTTCCTTGACCGGGCGTATCTGTATGCGGGATATCTTCCAATCGGAGGCGATCATCACCCGGATCCCTGCCGACAAAATACAGCCAGTTCGCTACCTCCAGCAGTCCCCTGGTAGGCCGCGAAGGGTTTGATAGCAGGAGTCTCTGGGAAGGTTTCCTCGGCCTTATGGCTCGCAATCACACGTAAGTCGCAGAAGAGCATGTGGCACACGTATCGGACTGAAACCCTGATACAGGATAGCTTTGATTCATCCTTGGACCGGTACTATCTGCGTGCGTGGTACCCTCCAATCGGAGAGGCTAATCTCCCCGAGCCTTCCGAGGCCGTCAACGGGAGAAATGCAGACAATCCCGAGGTGCCTTGGTACGCCGAGCTGGTGAGGAAACTTCGTACCATTTCTGCTGGCTTCACACCTCATTCATTAATATCGGGTCCGATTCACCTTCACCTTCCCCATCAGCGCCTCCCGTCCACAGGCAAGCAGCGAATCGGCGTCCATCATTTCCACACCTTTGCCCGCAACGGGTAAGAGATGATCCGTTGCCTAGACTCTGATATACCGTCATAGGAAGTCCACGTGGCAAATCGCCTTGGCTCCGACCGCTTCGCCGGTCTCACAGCGCTGACATCAAGCTCGCCACCCAGCAAGCGCCGCGTTCCCCGGGTTGCTCTGGCTCGCACCTCTGGTCGGCATGATAGTTTGCTTTCCTTTCCACCCACTTTCACCATCCATGCCTAACCGCCTGACCTCGGCTCACTAAAGACAAAAATGTCAGGCGCCACCGTCCAGGACCCTGCGGTTGCCAGCACGTCGAACCCGGACTCCAATTATTCTACAGCTCATGGCGGCATACGCTCTCAGCTCGCACAGCTGCGTCCCAAACACGCGGTATTCCAGGTCAAGCTCAGTATTCACCAAGTCTCGAACGTCCCTTACGTCCGCGGGGAGTTTGGCGTCAAGTGGCGGTTCAAGAACGTCGTGTCCGCCCCGCCGCACACCAGCTTCCTGTCAAGGATAAGGGCGCACCGGACGACCTCCGGGCGCTCGAGTGTGAAGGGGAAGGAGAAGGCGGTGGAGGGGCCGGAGATTGTTGTGCACGACGAGGACGAGGCGGATCAGGGGTCGGCGGGGTCGGGCGAGGACCAGTACTCGCTCGGGGAATGGGGCGAGCGGAAAGCGAACGCGAACCTCTCGAGTCTCTCCTTGGACCTGCTCAAGCCGGCGCCGGTGTCCCCGAAGGCCCCTCTCTCGCCCATGAGCACGAGCACGCCCTCGGATTCGCAGAGCTCGCTCGGGAACGGCGTCGTGTACTCGGACGCGAAAGGCATGACCGAGTACCTCCCCCTGCGGGGGCACAGCGTCAAGTGGGAGCACACAATCACGGTCGTGGTGCAGATGGACGTGCAGCGGGACACGCTGGATCTGCTGCCGAACGAGCTGAAGCTCGTGGTAAAGCAGGTGCGTCGCGGGCAAAGTCGACCCTTTGGCTTTTGTGTACTCACGCCGTATTCAGCGCGTTATCCCCGGCGACCCAGACTCACCGGAGAACCCGCGGCTAGGCCACGTCCTGCTTAACCTCGCCGAATACGCCAACGCAGGGCCTGTCACTCGAAACTACCTTCTCCGGCAGAGCAAGACCAACGCTATCCTAAAGGTGTGACCCGCCTCCCTTTCCCTCACCTTGCCCTACTAACCTGCCCCACAGCTGACAGTCGAGCTGACGCACATCGGCGGTGAAACCCGCTTCCGCGCGCCGCCTTTGCGCAAGGGCGAGATCCTGGCCGGCGTCTCGGGCCTGCTCTCCAACGACGCGTACCGCTCGCCAGCGTGGCTCTCCCGCACGCTCGACCTGTACGGCGACGTGCCCGGGCTCGACCTCGGGCGCGACGGCCCGCGCACGACGGAGACGCTCATCGAGGCGATCTTCAATCCCGTGCCGACGACGAGCGACGCGGATTCGCCGTTCACGTACTACGTCCCGCCGGGGTCGGCGAAGGCGCGGGAGCTCGAGGAGAAGGAGAAAGTGAAGGAGGATAGCAGCAGCGGGACGCTGGACTCGGAGGAGAAGCGGAGCGTGGTGAGCGGGACGGATAGCGCGAGCGTGCTCACGAGCTCGGGGGCGTCCCCATCGCTCGCGAGCGGGTCGAATTCGGATGCGGGGAGTGCGAGTGGGAAGCATAAGGGCTGGTGGTCGCGGCACAAGCTTGGCGCTGTGCACACGAGTCGCCCCGGGACGCCTAATTTATTGTTGAGGAGGCAAGAGAGGGAGCGTCCTATCATCAACATCGTCCCCCCACGGACAGAGAGCGGGGTTGGGAAGGCTTGAGCGTGGTATGATAGAAGGACAGCGGTAGGATAAGGTCTTTATAATGGTCGGTTATTCCTCTTGTATTTCCCTCATCTTTCTTGGTCGGTCCTCTCTCTCTTTCCTGATTTTAGGCTAACTTTATGACTTTCGAGATTTCTCTGTTTCGTATGATAGAATCGGTTCCTACGCCTCCTCCACCTGACATCGCGATCACTCACTTCCTGCATCCGCTCGCTTTGCCGTAATATATAGTATACCGTGTACATGCTCAGTCAATCAACTCTGCTAGGAGTCTTCCTCATGAGCGATAGACGCATACGGTATGGGCGCCTCCGCGATTACCACAGAAGTTTGTCATCTTTGCTTGTTACCTATCACTTACGACGTCCACTGGCAACGGATACCATATGCAACGTCGTGAAGTGAATTGCAGGGGCAGAAGGTCACGATCCGGACGGCCAGAGAGACCGAAGCGGCGGATATTGTCTTTCGCCAGATGTAAGATTGACTCAGTGGATGCAGCACGTACAATAAACATACTTTTATGTCAGGAGACCTCATGCTGTTGGTGCACCCTCCACAGGGCTTGACGGGGACTCGGGCAGGACCTCCGTTACACTCGGTTGTGCAGCCTCCGCCGCAGGGGCTTGAGCACCCAGACTCTTCTGCGCCAACTTCTCCTCCACAAGCACCCTCAACCGCATTCCCTCGTACCCAAGATAATCCGACTTTGTCTTCAACAAATACGCGTCCAGCCCGCGCTCCAATCCGCCGTACTTGGAATCCACATCAGCCGTCGTCCACTACAGCATCAATGGATTCAACCTTTTTAATCGTGCGCATCGCCTTCGTCGTGAGCTTCAGCTTGATCTTCTCGCCCAGCGCCTCGGAGAAGATCCGCTTCGTGTGCACGTTGGGGAGCCACGTCCGCTTGGTCTTGTTCTTCGAGAAGGGGACGCTGTTCCCGCTCTGCTTCATTTTGCCGTGGAAGAGGCCGAGCTGGGATCGCTTGAATGGCTGGCTGACGACAGCCGAGAAGAGGGGTATTGAAGGCAGCATGGTGCTTGCGGATGAGGGGAAGGACGAAGGTGTTGCGCGAAATTCCCTGAAATTGAATTATTAGCTTAGCTTATTATATTTTTATTTGGAGTTACTGCATAAAGCTTACATTATCCGCAACGACGTTGAATAACCGCCGTCAAAACGCTGTCACATCTTGTCAACTCCTTCAACCTTGTCGCCTCTGCGACGCCCATGCAGAAATGCCGGCAGCTCAAACTAGGGAGGCTGCCCAAGGGCAAGGCGCTTAGGTCCGTTAAAGTGAGTATATCCCCAATTTCACCGCTCAATACAAGATCGGCGTGCGGAATATAGCTGCCTTTATGTCGAGTGCTTCGTATCCCTGCCATGCACATCTTCCAAATGGAAGAACTATGGCATGGACTCGCGGAACTCGACATAAGAGCAACAGTTTGCCGGGGAACTATTTTCTGTTCCATCCCCTTTTCTTTCCCGACGTGCAAGCGCTGGCGTAGACGGGAGTCAACACCCGGCAAGCTCTCCATCTCACTCTAAGAACCCACTAATGTCGTACAGTTCAGGGGCACCACCCCCGGAGACCCTTTCCGCATCTGGAATACCCGCCCGACGCACCTCGTCGACCCCACACATCCCGCTGCGCGCCTCCCCAAGCGCTCCCTCCTCTCCCTCCTCCCCTCCTACACCCACACCGCCTTCTCCGTGCGCGCGCTCCCCAAGGCGCTGCTCGACAGCGGCGACAGGCCGTTCCGCGTCGCGCCGCCCACGGGCGACGATGCAAAGGTCGTCACGATGAGCGCGCCGATGATCGTCGGCAAGAAGGCGGTGTACAAAGATGCGTATATTAGGAGGAAGATCATGCGCAAGGTGAAGTTTGCGCTCGGGCTGGTCGTGGCGAAGGGCGCGGAGGGCGCGAGGGTGAGGACGGCCTCGGGGAAGGAGAAGGATGTGTTGGTGCAGGGAGAGACGGATAGGCGGCTCGTACTGCAAGGCGAGCTTTCGTCGGGCCGCGTGTGATGATACTTACGCTGATGATGATCCCTGCTTAGATTGGTCGTACGTATTTTCTCCCAGCCTCGAGGTCTACAGGATGCCCTACGAAACCCTGGTGCCCGCCCTCCGAGATGCCCTTATCAAGATCCGCTCGCGCGCTCTCGTGCTGGAAGAGACGCGCTGGGGACAGGATAAGCAGGAACGACGCCCTCAGGTTAGTCGTCTTTCTATGCTTACATTGATGAGCATCTGATCCTCTCTTCTTGTTATCGCAGGCATCTGCTGAGAAGTGCAACGCTCCCCGTCGTAACGGCAGCCAGTTGAACAGGCGTCCATAGAGGGACCGGTCACCGAAGCGTCAAGTGTCAAAGAAGGATCAAACTAACGATCTGCGCGTGCAAGGGTCGCGCAAGCACCCCCGTCTGTCTACAGGCACCCAGCAGACAGAACGCTCCTGGATTCACCGGACGAGCACCCGCATAGCGATCTGTGCATTTGCACAAGGTACCAGAATCCGGTGCCTCGCGTATAGTAACGGAGGCCAGCCTGCTCTCTGACCACCTGCTCTCTCCGTGGGGAATACTACGTGAACCCGACCCTCGAAATTCTACTTGCGGTGTCCGCATCCAGTGCGTCGTCAGCCTTGGCGTTATGCCAGGCCACGCCGACGGCGGATCGGAACCCACGGCATACGCGGACTGACCGCGTCCGCCGACCCAGGCTTTCGAAGCCAAGACCATCATCACCACCGGGCAACCGACGTCACACTCGTCCATGTCATATCAATACCACCATCTAATGTCTACACCACCCCTAGTCTGTCTGTCCATCCGAAGTGCTGCATCCGAATCAATGCAGGTTCACTTGCACTGGGGTATCATCGCGCATATACACGTGTATGCGGGCCCCGACTCTACGTCGTATCATACCGAATGCAGCTGCTCCTTATTGATGACCTGCGTGAAGATCTCCAGGGCGGCTGCGGGCTGGAAAGCGGGCTACGACAATCCCGGGTCAGGGACGATCGCCGAAGGGAATTGATTTATCTACTTACAACTTCATGGCCCGACGCATACACTCTCCTATTAAATCAAGGCGTTCTATCAGCACGACGCATCGGAGGAAAAGGCAAAGGAAGGGGAGAACGTACGCGAAGGTGAAGTTGTCCACGTTCTGCACCGCCGCGACGGGCGTCCCGTCGATCGTCATGTTGGTAAATGGCGTCGCGTGCAGCCGCGCGCTGCCGTACCAGTTCATCGCGAGCACGGACGCGTGCCCGCCCAGCCAGTTGCAGCTGTGAGCAGCGTGTTAGGTGTAGGGTGAGGGAGTGGAAAGTGGGGAATCAGCTTACTTGATATCCGCGTCGCCAGCCTGGGTGGGACGCACGGTGTGAGTAATAAGGGGGATGGAGATGTAGGTGGTACGTACCCAGATAAGCATCTTCAACCCCGAATTCGCCAGCGCTCCCAGCTGGGGGAGCAGCGTCCTCGCGTCCTGCCCTCGGAACAAATCAGCATACTCTGACTGCGGCAGGGCAACACTACTCACGTCACCCGTGCGCGTGAACAGCTCGTACGGCGCGTCGGGGCACTCGGAGTAGTTGCTCTCCGCGCCGATGGCAGCGAGGACGGACGGCAGGCTGAGATAGTTGACGTAGTATTCCGGCGGGAAGAGTGCGGACGCGTTCTGCCGCAGGTCGTCCGAGTCGCGGTCGCCCACCGCCGGGACGAACACGTACTCAATCTACACGTCCCACACACTTATGATCAACGCATAAGGGCGACGCCCAGCGGAGGAGACGCACGCAGTAGTTATCGGCGGTCGCGCAGATCTCGTTGGACGCGGACGAGTTGCCCGCGGCGTAGCACGCCGCCTCCTGGACGAGGCACCCGCCAGGGCCGTAGAACGCCTCGTTGAGCTGCGCGAGCACGCTGTCGTTCTGCAGCTGGCCGTACCCGGGGGCGTACGTTGCGAAGTCGACGTAGGCCTTGTTCTGCAGGAGGGGGTCGTACCACCCGCTGTAGACATCGGGTTATCAGGTTAGGCGAGGTGGAAGGGCAGCCGGGGAGGAACGAACGGACTTATTGATCATCAGCGCGCTGACGACGACTTTCTCGCCTTGGAGTGCTCCGGCGTCGATAAGCGCGTTCTGCTGGTCGAAGTACGTGACCATGGCGGGGCCGTAATGCCCGCCATAGCTCTCCGTCGCGAAGATGAACCTGAGTAGTTTAGTCAGACGCACAGAGCAGGAAGAGTCGGGACAAGGATGCTCACTCCCTGCTTTCGTACTTAGAGAACTCGCCGCTCTCGAAGAGGACCTGGAAGGCGTTCCAGACGAAGGGAGATGCGGTGAACGTGCTGTTCACGGTGTCCTCGCCATACGAAAAGCCGGTGCCGATCGGCTGGTCGATGTAGATCACTAGGGGGTGTGTGGTTGGTGTCATGCGCTCCCGGCGGTGGAACAAGTGGAGAACATACTATTGCTAGCATTGTTCCAGCTAATCGCACGAGAAGTATATGAATATCTAGGTAGGAGGTATATGACAGGAACTTGCCTATAGGGATTGATGTACGTGGACTCGCCGTCAGGATTAACCAAGCAAGGCCCGTTCTCTAGAAGTATATCGCAGGTAATTAACAATCAAAACCCGGTGGTAAGTGGTAGTTTCTTACCTTGGAAAAGTCCAATCATAGATGAGCATCCCGGACCGCCATTCAGCCTATGATACAGTCAGAATTGGCCTTGGCGTATATGAACATCCAGGCATCTTACCAAAGGGTGAACGGTGCGGACTCGGGATTCTCCCGCGCCTCGAAGAACCAAAACCACTGTACGCAAATAAGATTCAGGTCACGTCAGATCACTGGCCAACTGCGAAATAAACCCTCCATCATACCATTGACATGTTCGTCCCGACTTCGATATACCCCGACATTTGATGCACCCCAGGCGTCGTCTCGCAGATGCCCGAGTCATTCACATACCGTAACTTCACATCTGGATTCACAGCCGACCGGTACTCGAACTTCTGGCTTGCGATACCGGAGAGACTAGTATTTGCCGCTCGCGTGAGTAGGGCGTGCCGGCCCAAGGTGAAGACCGCGAACGCGAGGCCAGAAACGAATGATACGACGCGCATGGTGGGCAGATCCAACAGCGGGGTTGAGCCGGACGGCTCGCTCCCGTGCGGCATCGCCGCTTTATAAGTCTGTCGCCTTCTAGCGAACGTATGGAAGGGGATATGTTTGGGCGCCTTCTTTCCCGCTGTCGGTGCTTTGCATGCGGCCCTGATCCCATGGAGGGTATTTTTAGTCCAGCGCTATCCGCAGGACTTTGGGCCGTACATAGCATGAGGAGCGCACGGCAACATAAACGCCAGCATTGGAGCAGAGAATCCGAATTCTGCACTGTCTCCGAGACATAAAAGCAGACACGAGAAACTGTGCTCTGCGTTAAGAAATTTAAACTCCCGTCCGGCGAGATGTTGCGGTTGCCTCATTTAGCCGCTCGGTAAATCCCGGCCAGTGGTACTGCAGCCATGGCGGTGAGTACAATTGAACACGACAGACTATCACTTCCCTCGAGAAAATTCACTATACTGTACCGCTTTGTATGGTAGCAACAGTCCGGCTTGCGTAACACGTTCCATTGATACAGCTATTTGCAGATCGATGGGCCCGCTTTTCAGCAAATCATCTACAGTCGGACAGGCAAATTGAAGTCCCCAAGAGACAGAAATAAGAGCTTTTGGACTTCTATAACTCCTTCCGACGTCCCTGGCGACCACTCCGGCGCATTCCGACTTTATGCGGCTTTCTGAGTTCACCCGAGTGACACCAAAAGCGAGATTCCTTAGACTTGGGACTACAGTCGACTCTGTCTTAACCCATACCTGTCATAACCCATAACCTGTAATAACCCATAGGTTTTTGGCTTCCACCGACATGGTAGATAGTAAAAACCCATAAGTCTGCCGTATCCCATAACCCATAGCTTTTTGAAGGGTCATAACCCATAAAACAACCTATATTAGGAAGGTACAGGTCTCCTTCTCACGAGAATCTGGACCATCTGGACCCTTAATTTTTGGTTCTCGTGGTATTTCAGAAGATAACCCATACCAGACTCAAGATTCCGTATCTAAACGGTGTCATAAACGACGTCCGGCCTATACCGCATAGGCTGTCTGTCACGCGTACTAGGTAGTCACACAATGTCACACGTTCTGGTAACCCATAGTCTGCAGAAACCCATAACTTTTGGGTTCCACGAGCCGTTATGGGTTAAGACAGAGTCGACTGTACGCCCCAAGACGCGAGACCAAGGGGTCTTGAAAACCTTATTTTGCCACCCCACCTGAACGCCCCCCCTGGGTACCCCACCTCGTCCCCCTTGACTTCAACGCTCGAGCATCGGTCTACACACAGTACACGTCACCGCCTACACTAGTATAATAAGGCCGTCCGCTACTCTGCTCGACACCCCGTCCTCGCTGTCTTCCCCGTCGACCACCATGCCCTTGCCGCTTCCGGCCGCGGTCCGGGTAGAAGTCTGGTAGCAAACCCCAACCCTAGGGTGTACCGCCACGGGTCAGGTGACAACGCCAGCGTCGGCGCCCGGCGTGTTGTCGCCGCCCGCTTTAGGCCTGTCGTCGTCGTCGCCGACGATGAGCATGGCTGTAGCATTTGTATGTAGTCGTGGAAATATGGAATAAATCTCATTAAATACACAAAATTCGTTTGATGGATTTGACATGTATGCGCCGCCACTTACA